CAAGAAACCGAGAGTCCCGAAAGCCCATGTCTCTAAGCTTCCAAAGCTGCAACTTTGTATAGTTGTAAAGCTTAAACTCTAAATTGGGCAGGGACTTCAAGGTCCCTGAAAGCTGGGAGCAAGTAGGCTATGTGGCAGAGGACCAGGAACTCCATCCTTGGGGCCCCTTGGCCTGGCCCACCCTAGCACAGTGAGCCTGCTCCTAATGAGCACAATGCCTCCCCTATAGCTCCCCTAAGCCTCAGGCCAGCTCAGCTGGCTACAGCCCCCCTGCAGAACACTTATGCCAACTGAGCCAACAGGTAGGAGATACAGCACACTCATCTGACATGTTAGTCTATGAAAGCTTTTTTAAATGTTTAAAAGTCATTTTTTTCCTTGGGGAAAAGGGATGTAGGATAATATCATCCGCCACTCAGTGAACTATCCACCATGTGCCAGGCTCTGTGCTAAGAGCTTTGCCTCACCTCTTTGGATTGTCTAAACAACCCTTTCTCTCAGGAAAACACTCTGACTCTTGTTATAGGTAAGAAAACGGAGGCAGAGAAAACTGTTAGCAAGTGGCAGGGCTGGTATGGATCCTGGCTGATCTGAATCTAGAGGGAGTGGTGACACAGGGACTCCAAAATCAGGCATTTCATGGAAGCCGTTTCTGAAACTTTCTGCCTCTTATGCCCCTTCCTCTCTTTTAAAATAACGTGTGAAGCTTAAAAGAAGTATTCAAGAGTCAAAATTAGATTTATCAGCCAATGAGATTGATCTGATATTTACCTTAATGTAATATTTACCTGGCCTGTCAGACTTCAGGGTTAGAAATTTCTAGAAAGATGTGGGGGAGTGATTTGGAGGGTAAAGAGTACTAAAAATCACTTACTTGAATACCTGATCAAGGCCACATAGCTGAACAGGAACAAAAGTTAACAGTCAGGACTCTCCCTCCCAGGCCAGGGCTCATTTCATACATCATCCTGCTTCTTAGGAGGTGTAAAAACTATAGCATGAAACTAGAAACATTATCCTCAGATACATTCAATGTCCTATCCTTCTCTGAATCTGGTTTTCTGAAACTTGACAGTATGTATAATGGTGGCAGAGAAATGCTAAAATAGATTTTTTGGGGGGAAGGGGTTGGTTATGGGGCTTGAAAACATAGGGCCCGGGTGTTGTCCCTGAGCTCTTTTGCTCAAAGCTAGAGCTCTACCACTTTAAGCCAGACCACTATTTCTGGTTTTCTGGTGGTTAACTGGAGGTAAGAGTCTCAAGAATTTTCCTGCCCAGGCTGGCTTTGTGATCCTCAGATATCAGCCTCTTGAGTAGCTAGGATTATAGGTATGAGATCCACTAGAATAGGGTTTGTTTTTTTTTAATGTGTTGTGAAACACCAAGATACTCAAATGCAGAGAGGCTGCTTGGCCATGTTTCTTTCTATGTGTTAGGACTACATGGGGCCACTACAATGGGTTGTGGGTAGAAGTGAAGTATGTCCCAGCATTTAACAATGGGCAATGTCCCAAATGGTGGTACCCCTTATTAGCCAATGGTGGTACCCCTTATTAGTCTCAGAGGAGAGCCCCTGGGAACCCACAATGGACATGTACATGAGAAAGAAGCCTTTGTCATTAAGGCATGAAAATTATGAGAGTGTATGTTTCTGAAGCTTAACCTAGCCCATCCTGGCTGACTCCCCTGATATTCCATCTGGGGCACAGACTTTTTAACTGTGAGGAAGACTACCACACTCCTGATGCACTTCTCCAAAAAGTGACTGTTTCTACAGGTAGGACAATGCCCCCAAAGTTCTCCTAGAAATCACAATGGCTACATTGTTCTACTGGAGCAATGGATAAGAAAAGCAGGTTGCTCTCCAGGTAAGACTTTGGGATCAGGATCTGAGGCAGAACAGCAACCAGCACCAAATGTCATGAACAGTTGGTGCAATTGGAATGACCGTCACTGACACTCCTGAGTGCGAGACATGGGAGGGTGACAGTGGTAAATGGGGTTACGTCCTCCTTTTACTTCAATAGCCCACTACTGGACTCACAGCCTGGTGCCTATCCTGTTGGCGGGCTGGTCAGTTCTGCAGAGGCATCTAGAAGGCTGCAGACTTGTGCGAGCTGAGCCTCAGTGCTCAGGCAAGGCCAGTTCCACCGGAGGAAACTTCCTGGAAAGAAGGATGAGACTGCAGCAGTGGGCTTTGCCCAACAATGGGCGTGGTGTGGAAGGGCTGAGCAGGTGTGCGTGAGGGATACAGAGAGAGTGAGGCCAGGAGGGCAGGCCAGAGCCTCTTCATGAAAGCCTCCAGGGCCCCTGCAATGCCCTTTTGGTCTTTTATGAGAGGCAAGGGTAAAGAAGAGAAATGAAGAGGGGGTGGGAGGGGGGGTCTTCCACCACACACCCAGGAAGGACCAAGCCCTTATAGCTCTTCTTTTCAGATTTCAGAAATTGTTCATTTGTTTTGTGGTGCTCTGGATCACACACAGGGCCTTACCAATGCCGGGCGAATATCTACCACTGAGTTACAATCCATCCTCAACCCTCTGATTTCAGATTGACATTGTCTTTACATCTCAGTCTCAGATTCTTGGAGACCAAGTGACCAGAGGAAGGAGAGATATGTGTGAGGTCACTGAGAGGGAGAGAATGAGTGAGTGAGTGAGAGAGTAAACTCCATGAAGGACAAAGCCATGTCTGTTACTCTGTATCCCAGCACCTGGCCACAGGCTCGGCACAGTGCTGCTCAATGGCTAAACAAATGAGCCATTGTGCTTCTTTTTGTGGAAAGTTCACATGAAATAAGATTTATGGTGAGTTACTGACCCAGATCCAGAAACTATCCTTTCACAATTATCTTACTTCAGGGTAGGGACAGGAAAATCTGGGCTGGAGGTGTGGCTCAGTAGAACACTAACTTGTGTGAAACTCTGGATTTGACCCCTATCACTGAAAGAAAAAAGCGGGGGGGGCGGGGAAGAAGGAAAAGAAAAGGAAAAAGAAGAAAAACCTTTGTAGGCTGTGGGTACAAGAGGGTTCATAGAGCCGGGCACTGGTGGCTCACGCCTGTAATCCTAGCTACTCAGGAGGCTGAGATCTGAGGATCGCGGTTCAAAGCCAGCCCGGGCAGGAGAGACCATGAGACTCCTATCTCCAATAAACCACCAGAAAACCGGAAGTGGCGCTGTAGCTCAAGTAGTAGAGTGCTCACCTTGATCTGAAGAGCAGAGGGACAGCGCCCAGGCCCAGAGTTCAGGCCCCACGACCGGACCCCCCCCCCCAAAAAAAAAGAAAGAAAGAAATGTTCCTTTAGAACAGAGAGAGGGAGATATGCAAAGGAGAACTGGGGGAGACAGGATTCGTATAGTCTGCATGGTGGGCTGTATCTGGGTTGGTCACTATGCAAGGTGACTATAATGAAGCAGGAGGAATGAGAAGGGGACAAAAAAAATCCAGTCCAGGTGAAGCCAAAGTTGCTTGCTCTCCTGGGACTTTGGCAATCTAGGATTGAGGTGCAGGGAGGGGTACATTATGCCTTCCAAATAATAAAAGTTCTGACACCTGGGCCATAAGCTTTCCTGGCCTAACAAGTCCATTGTGCTGGAACACTTGACCCTGGCCTTTCCTAAGGAGACAGGGAGACCAGCTCAGCAGAGCATGGAGGCCGCCCAGGGCACGGGGAGTGGGGGGTGCAGCTTCTCCCCATCTTTCCCTTTCAATGCTAGTCAATGACTAACCATGTTGCCATGCTAGTGCCTGGTTTCACTCATCACAAGGCATCCCCACCAACCTCATTTATGTTAAGAAGCAATATGAAAGCCAAGAAGTGAGTCACTGGCTTTCAAAGCAGGGATCAAATCCTGTCACCAGGAGCTCTATCAGGAGCTTTTACAAGTCCTTTAAAAAAAAAAAAACCAACCAGTGAATGGAAGCTGGTATCAGTAGTTCATGCCTGTCATCCTAGCTACTCAGGGGGTACAGTGTGAAGTCAGCCCAGGCAGGAGACTCTTATCTCTAATTAAGCAGCAAAAAGCCAGAGGTGGTAGAGCATCAGCTTTGAGCAAAAGAGCTAAGGGGCAGCAACCAATCCCTGAGTTCAAGCCCCACTACTGGTATAAACATAGATACATAGACACAGACACACACAGACACACAGACACAGACACAGACACACACACACAGACACACACACACACACACACACACACACACACACACACACACACACACACACACACAGCAGTGAATAGGCTGTGATTTCGTTAGAAGAGATGGCCAGAAATCAGACACACATCCTGGGGTGCCAAAATTTTCCTTCTTCATGGCTCAGAGGAATACTAGGCAAAATCACCCATCACACATTTGCCTCCCAGAACTCATCTCACCTCAGTCAAGGGTGGGAGCCAGCAATCATGACAGGTATGAAATCTTTTATTTTCTACTTATTTTTCTTGCTAGGGTTATAGCCCTAGCACCTGAGATACCTAGTTCAGAGTAAGTGCTATGAATGGATCTGAAATTCAGATTTGGCTACAATTCAGCCAAATGAAGTAATAGCCAAGAGAAGATGCTTCCTTTGAACAGCCAAGGACATTTAAAAAGCCAGGTATGGTAGTGCTCACCTATGCACCCAGCAATTGGGAGATGGAGCTAGGAAGATCTTGAGTTCAAAGATAATCTGGGTTATACTGCAAGACCCTGTCTCCAAAACAAACAAAAAATGTGAATCCTGTGAGTGAATCCTGTGAGTGAATCCTGTGAGTGTCCCTTGGGGAACACAGCAAGGAACCTAGGGGACCAGAATGTGCCACATGCTCCCTTAAGTTCTATTAGTAGAATAGCAGAGCTGAAGTCCACCTCTCTTGTCAAACAGATGGTGAAACTAAATTCCAGAGAGGGAGCTTAAGCTGAGACAGCTCACACATTCAGCTTGCTTGGCTCTCCCACCAGATAAAGAGAGTTTTCAAAAAGCTGTATATTCCAGATGAAAAAGGAGAGACAGTGACATGAACAGGAAAAACGATACTGCTGTGGCGGAATACATCCTGCTGGGGCTCCATAAGTACCGTCATCTAGAAATGGCCCTATTTGTGCTTTGTCTGACCATCTACTGCCTTACTCTGCTGGGCAACTCCCTTCTGGTGGGGCTGATTGTGCTGGATTCCCGCCTGCACAACCCCATGTACTTCTTTCTCAGCAACCTCTCCCTCATAGACATCAGTGGCACCTCCTCCTTCATGCCTCTCATGCTAATCAACTTCTTGGCAGCCCAAAAGACTATCTCCTTCCCCAGCCGCGCCCTGCAGATGTACTTGACCTTGGCACTGGGTGCTACAGAGTGTCTTCTCCTGGCTGCTATAGCATATGACCGTTTTGTGGCTATCTGCCAGCCACTCAGGTACCTCCAGCTCATGAGTGGGAGGATGTGTATGCGGATGGCAGCACTGAGCTGGGGGACAGGTTTTGCCAACTCTCTGCTGCAGTCCATCCTTGTGTGGCGCCTCCCCTTTTGTGGCCATAATGTCATCAACCACTTCTTCTGTGAGATCTTGGCAGTGCTGAAACTGGCCTGTGGGGACATCCCCCTCAATGCCCTGACAATAATGGTGGCCACAGCTGTCCTGACACTGACTCCACTCCTGCTCATCTGCCTCTCCTACATTTTCATCTTGGCTGCCATCCTCAGCGTACCGTCTGCTGCAGGCCACCACAAAGCCTTCTCCACCTGCTCTGCTCACCTCACAGTGGTGGTAGTTTTCTATGGGACCATCTCCTTCATGAACCTCAAACCCAAGGCCAAAGACCCGGATGTGGATAAGCTCATCACATTGTTCTATGGGTTGTGACACCCTCACTGAACCCCATCATCCACAGTCTGAGGAACTCAGAGGTGAAAGCTGCTTTTGCAGAAGAGATCTCACCAGGAGAATGCCCCACTTTTACTGTTGCAATCCAGCTCTATCAGTCAGTAACGGCTAAGTTATGTGATGGAAATGATCTCAAATTTTCAATAGCTTAAAACCATTAAGGTTGGTTTCTCGCTCATGCTTCAGATCCATGCGTGGCCTGGGGTCTGCTCTGCATCACTGTCTTCTCCCCTCTGGGACTTACAATGACAGAGCAGGCACCATCCACTGCTGGTCACTATGCCAAAAGGAAACAGAAGTTAGCAGAGCCTGTGTGGACTCGTAGCTTCTACTCCAAAGTGATGCCTGGGGTACTGGTGGCACACACCTATAATCCTAGCTACTCAGGAGGCTGAGATCTGAGGATCATTGTTCAAAGCCAGCCCAGGCAAAAAAAAAAGTCTGTGAAACTTTTATTGCCATTTAACCACCAGAAAACCAAAAATGGATCTATGGTTCAAAGTGGTAAAGCACTAGCCTTGGGCAAAGGGCTCAGGGACAGCACCCAGGCCCTGAGTACCAGCCCCAAAACAGACCAAAAAAAGTGGCATCTGCTACTTCCACATACATTTCACTGCCAACACAAGGCATGAGGCCACTTGTAACATGAAGAGGGAGTATACACCCAGCTATATGTGCCTGGAAGGAAAAAGGACTGAGGGATTTCTTAATACCTAATGACTTCATATCACTCACAGTTAACCCAAGAGCCTGTGCTCTAGCTGTCCGTGCTCCATGAGCTGCACAGGGCTGGTTCATCATCCCCAGAAAGCTCTGGTTAGTTCCCTTGTGGTAGCTTTGTACTATGTTAACCAAACTAGTCTGGAAGTGTGCTTTCCCAAATTTCCTTCCTGCACAGGCCTCTTTTTAGACAGGCACATAAGGCTGGAAGAAAAAGGTGAACAGCAAAAGCCTTCCTATCTTTAATGTACTGGGTGCTTATCAGTGCAATCCATCCTGCTTCTACCTGATCAGGCTCAGTTCTCAGTTTGGGCCACATTCAGCTCCAGGCCAAAAGGTGTCAACTTTTCTTGCAGGACATCTGGGTCACTGAGCTTGAAGACAGCAGGAGCTGTACACGGGTTCCAGTCTATTTTCCTGAGCTCTTATTCTCCCTCACTCACCCACCTTTCCTTCCTGCTGCCAGCCCTGCAGGCCTGTACCACCTTCAGAACCAAAGCCAAATGCAGAAGTACCAGCTCTATATAGACTTCCCTAACTGCTCCTGACTGTGTAAGTCTAATCTCTATAGTAAATTCCCTATATCCCTCAGAGTGTTTCTCCCTCTTTGGTCAAATCCCAACTGATTCACTAGTCTTCTGATCAAGGACCTTTCCTGGCATATTAGCACAGCAATTAGTCCAAATTCTTGGCTAGGTCCTCCAGAGTCTGAGTACGCCTGCTTTTTCAATCTGGCTCTCCGCTAAGCTGTTCATTTGGGCTGGCCACACACTGCACCATCTGTACTGTCTGCACCCATGTCTGATTATGCTGTTCTCAGATAACACTGAAGATTATCAGCTCTTCCATGCATTCCTCCCTGATGCATTTTTGCATCAACCTCTTTACATCCTATGGCACTTTGCATGAACTTTTACTTGGTACCTATCCTGTCCAGAGGCATCCATGACATTTCACAGGAATGTTCCTTCAGGGTCTCCGACTCTGACTCACCTTTTCAGCTCCCACAGAGACTTCCTGATAGCTGGACTGCAGAACCAAACTGTGCCTTGGAAGCTTTCATAGTGTCATCATCTGAGAGTTGAGCCCTGCTTCAGGCATTTGTGGGTGGACAGAGATCTCGGGGAGGCTGTGCATACAGAAGGGACATGCAAGGCAGCAGCAGGACCTGCAGCAGCCACAGCCCTGTATCCAGGGCAGGCAGGGATAGTTTGGATTTGGGGATCTTCACAGTGAGACAAGTGAGGAGATACACAGGGGTTCAAGGGCTACTTCAGCCATTATGCCCAGCCCTTTCCCCCAGGAACGCCACATGCACCTTAAAATATCCCAAACAGAACTCCATTATCCCAACTTCTGGTGGTATCAGGAACTCAAGGAATGGTACCATCACCCCAAGTCAGAAACATGGTGGACATCCTAGACTTTCTCTCCATACTTCACTCCACACATCCAATTAGTCACTCAGGAGTCTCTTCTCCTCCAGTGGGGCTATGTCAAGAAGCCTTCATTATTTCAAATTATTTTCATTATCTCAAATAGTATGACAGCTTTGTCACTCCATGCTCATTCTTCCAATTCCTCTCAAAACTCATACCCTGTACCAACTATCAAAAAAACCAAACCTGTTCATTTTATTCTGTTTAAATTGTCCAGTAGCTCTTCATTTCCCATCAGGTAAGAACCAGATGCCACATCATTGACTATCTGACCTATACCACACCCACTCACCAGAGGCCCAGGCCCAGTGCTTTTGTTCACAATTGCCTGGGTAAATACCAGTCTTTTGTGCCTCTGCATCTCTAGCTCTCATGTCCAATAACTCCATGACCTTTGTCTAGCACATACTGAATACATATCACATACCAAGCTAGCTCTCTGGTGTGTGTTTTAAGTATTTTATTGAATGAGGGACCTGAGGGATGATGGGAATCTCAGGAAAGGGATGAAAGATGGGCACACGTGACCACAGAGAACACTTTCCCAAATCTTGTCATTACAGCAATTTGTTTCATCTTCATTCAAGGTCCCTTTTCCAGAAGCCCCTGCCAACCCTTCCTAGCTGGGAGATAACAACCCAGCTCTTTGCCTCTTTGGACTCTCTCTACTGATTTAGACTGAACCCCAACTATATGGTTCAAGAGTCTTAGTAATCTGTTCTAGCTCTGTGAAGGAATAATATTTCTTTCTCTTTTTTGTGGGGGGAGGTTTGGTCATGGGGCCTGAACTCTGTCCCTCAGCTCTTCAGCTCAAGGCGAGCGCTCTACCACTTGAGCCACAGCGCCACTTCCAGCTTTCTTTTCGCTTATGTGGTGCTGAAGAATCAAACCCAGGGCTTCATGCATGTAAGGCAAGCACTCTACCACTGAGCCACCTTCCCACCCCAGGAATAACATTTCTTACAGGGGAAATAACCCTTATCCCACCCATCCTCACTTTTTTTTTTGGGGGGGGGTCTGGTCGTGGGACCTGAACTATGGGCCTGGGCGCTGTCCCTCAGCTCTTCAGCTCAAGGCTAGAGCTCTGCCACTTGAGCCACAGCGCCACTTCCGGCTTTTTTTCTTTTTGCTTATGTGGTGCTGAGGAATCGAACCCAGGGCCTCATGCATGCAAGGCAAGCGCTCTACCACTGAGCCACCGTCCCCATCCTCACTTCTTGTCACTCAGTTGGCCCTGTTATTCTCTACTCAGTATCCCAAGGAAGAGACATGAATGCAGGAAGCAATCCTGGGTTTCAAGCTTAAGCCTAAACCCTGAAGAAAATAGAAAAAACTTAAGGCATAGATAAGATTTGAGAAAGAAAAAAAAAAACACAACAGTAAGGTTTCCCCATCTCCAGATGAACAAATGGGAGGGGGGGACAAAGAGGAGGAGGGAATGTAGTGTGAGCACTGGCACAGATGGCTCCTAAAAGAAGGGTATCATGAGACAAGACCCTGGATATGTCTACAGAATTTAAATGATGGAGCGGTTCATGCCTTGTTTGTTAAGTAAAACCTAGAGCTGGACTCCAGTGTAGAAATGACTTTGTAGAATGTTTGGAAAGCCAAGGTGTTCAGAACTTCAGGACTGAGGAGTTATGCTGACAGGAACAAGAAACCTTCCAGCATCCACCTAATCTGTCTGGTCACTGACTGGGAGCCAGATAGGATGATGGAAATCTCAGGGGATGGGTGGAGTATGGACATGACCAGAGAGAATGTTCTGCTGACATCTTGACATTATGTAAGACCCTCAGAACTCAGCTATGACCCCTATGGAAACAGAGAAATTCCAACTGACAAAAGATTATTTCTGGCATTTAGGGGAAAATGGAGGCTCAAAATAAGAACATTCTTTTTCCGGGGGGGGGGGGGGGGGGTGATCCGGTCCTGGGGCCTGAACTCTGGGCCTGGGCGCTGTCCCTCAGCTCTTCAGCTCAAGGCTAGCACTCTACCACTTGAGCCACAGCGCCACTTCCGGCTTTTTTCCTTTTGCTTATGTGGTGCTGAGGAATCGAACCCAGGGCCTCAGGCATGCAAGGCAAGCGCTCTACCACTGAGCCACCTTCCCAGCCAATAGGAACATTCTTGTGGTATTTTTTGTGCATCTTAAATTTGTACCTGTTATTCCAATTTCAAAGCACCTCAACTTCTTTTTCTGGGACTGTAAGTATCATAGGGGATATGTAACTGATTTCAACTTGTCTTAGTATACATGTACCCATGCATACTCATACCAAGTACACACATGCATACACACTACTGGAGGCTGGAATCCACAGGGATTGAGAAACAGCCATCAGGAGGTATTAGAAAGGAGAGCAAGAACCAGAGAGAGGGCTGCACAATGGGGCAGAAGCTTCATCTTCAGACTGGTCTCCCACCATCCCTGCTATTTCTTCAGGGGCTCCTTTTCCTTCCCTTCTCCCACCCCAAGCCTCAGAAAGAAAGAAAATGCAGCATAGAACCAACATATACTTCATTGGAGACAAATCAGATTCCACCTACATCCCTGTCCCACCATCATCCCTGCCCCAGCTCCATCTGTCCTGCAACACCCCTTTCCAAGTCCAGCCCAGCCCAGCCCACACACACTGCCTCTGGGAAGGAAATCTGAAGCCAGAATTACTGAGTCTCTCACAAAAATCTAGAGACTCAGTTTCCCCCAAGATGGACTCCATGGGAAACAATTCATGTCTGTAGGAGGCCTCCAGATTACTGGGAAGGGCTCCACATCCCTAGGAGGGATTCCTTTGTCCTGAGTAGGCTCTGTGCCCT